GTTGTTAAACCCTCCCGTGGCTTCAGTGATGCTGGAACACCACGGTCCTTCCCTCAGGAGCAGCCACATTTCTGCTTTCAGCATCTGGGAACGTGCAGCATTAACATCCTTAGTTCTCAGTGAGATAATTGCTGGTTAAGAGCACTTTAAACCCCCCAGGCATGGTTAGCAGCAGGCACCCAAGTATGCTAAGATTGATCACTTCATGTTTGATTTTGGATAAATCTAGATTTAACCTTACAATAATGGTTGTTTGTAACACTTGAGCTTTGTATCAAGTTTTAAAAATGAACAAGGTGACCTAGTTTAGGAACTGTTCGTTGTGAGGAAAGGATGTAAGGTAGCAGGGTTGAGATGAGCCACATGAATACCTCCCTTTCTTCTCTTCTGTCCAACTCTCCGTGTTGCTTTATGATAAACCCCACCGTGCTGTTTACAGTCACGCACTCCATTTCTAAAGCAGAGTCCCCACTCCTGAGCAACACCAGCCCAGCTCTTGCCAGTCCACACATTTGGAGTACATACCTTTTTTTTTTTTTTTTTTTTTTTTAGCTTTAATCTTAACGTTTGAACTTGTTTGATGATGAAGGCTGATATTTTAAAATAGTAGGGTTAAAAAAGAAACAGGAGCCGCGAGTCTTAGGAAAAATTATCCCACGTCCTCTAGAACGCAGAAGATGCTTTATGGATAAATCCAAAAGGAAAGATGGTGGAAGGAAAAAAAAATCTCTCTAAAATTCTATTTGTAGTTCCTTTCCAGTTGTTCTTGTGTCCTGACATTGATGGAATAGGTGTTTGCTTGCCTGTTTATTTGGTTTTGTAGGGTATGTAAATGCAGAGAATACATTTAATGAAAAGTAAAAACATATAAACATTTCCTGGGGAATATAAAGATACCTTTGACAGACACTTTTCACAAAATTTAAATGAGAAAGTTAAAAAAAAAACTGTGAAATAATGAAGACTCATGAAAAAACAGTGTTGTTCCTGAGTACTCTGAAAGACTTCAAAACCTTTCTTCCTCTTTGCTTGAAAGTTTTCCTCCTTTAATTCCAAATTCTTATTCTGCTTGTTGTTTAAACTCTGCATGTGTTTCTTATGTCTTATTCTTGGATAATTTATTTTGGTTCCTGCTATTGTGCCAAAAGGATGATACACAAATATTCTCAAATTTGTCTTCGGCAGTTCTTGCAGGAACTCAAACATACATAAATCTGTCGTGACATTCACTCTTATGCTTGATTATATGTTCCTGAGAACTTCTACAGTCTGTTACGTCTTTGTTTTTCACTTATTGCTTTTGCATTTATTGTAAAGATTAAATATATATGATCTATATTTCAAGTTCCTACTCCTAAATCTTTGGTCCTGTATATAGTTGTTCAAAGAAAATGCCAGACTGATTTGAAAAGCTTTGGTGCGATGAAACAAAGATTGAAAGCAACTCTATTGGCAGAACTTCATGTCTGTGTTCCACTCTGTAGATGTATGGGTTTATGATGTAAAACTTGCAAAGTTATTTCACTGCTGTTACATGTGCAAACAATTGTACTTTGAATTTTGAAATATTAGATCTCAATATATTGTTACATGATTTATTTTTGCAGGAACATACTTCGCATAACTATAATTCTTCGGTTCCAAACTATCAATCCCTCAACTCCACAAATGATTTTTAAATAAATTATGCATGTTAGAGCAGATGACTGCTCCAGGGTATTATATAACTTTTTTTTTTTAATTGTACAACTGTCATCTAACCAATTTGCGTACACATAATATGGAAGAGGAAATACATGCATCTTATTTTTTGTTATGCAGTTTAAGCCCACCTTTTTGAGCTGGACAAAGTAAGATCCTTAAATAGCTGCAGTACGTAGGATATCAGCATTTTTCTGTTTTACCCGCTGGATAAAAAGGAATAGTATGGTTATCGCGGAGTGACCTGACAAAGAGGAACTAAGAGATCTCGTTAATGGTAGATGATTTTAGTGAAGAGATTTATACTGAATGAACGTCTGTAGCACCTCTGGCCATTGTAGGTAGGCACCTTTTACAAGGACTAAACCCACCAATTACTTCTGCCACCAACAGCTAGTGACTTGATCAATGCCCAAACTCCTGCAGCAGATGATCATCACATATCGACCAAGAATCACTCCAGACAGAAAGAAACCCAAACAAAAACAATATATATAAAAAATCCACTCCCCTTTCTCTTCTCGCCCTTCAAAAAACAAAGTAAACCAATAAACTCTCACGAAACAAACAGACGCACATCTTACCTGGAAGCTCAACGGATTGGAGGTCTGACCAAATCCCGAAGAACGGAGATGAGCGCTGTGCGTTTGTGCTGCATGGAGACAACAACCTCCACCAGTCTGTCCAGTCAGAAAGGCAATGGATGTATATGGAGTTGGTGGGCCTTAACTGGAACAGGAAAAGCCAAAACCAGACCCTTTCCCTCAGAATAGAAACCCTTCAGAGGGAATGCTCAGCCATCAATTTCTGGAACTTAATGCGTATCTGCAGGTAGGATTCTGACCAGAGCTATTTTATTCCCAAAGCCACGTCTGTTTTACTATCGAAAGCAATCTCTTTGCTGTTCCATACACCAGACAAAAACACTGGCTATTTCCACCTCCAGGTGAAGAAACCAGCGCTGTGTCATACCTCCCAAATCCTGGTCCCATTTTCCAGAGAAAAAACAATCTACATAATAAAATCCATTTAAATCATGCCTTTTAAACGGAATGGGAAAAATCAATAAGCTATCCAGAACGTAAGAGAACAATTCTGAAAAGGTGCCATGAATATATATGTAAAGAGGAAATTCCAGAAGTGAAAATGACTGTTGCATTTCTTGTGTGATAGCTTTGCATGGGGTCGGTTTGAATTTTACATTTATTACATTCTTGGTTCACTAGGACTCCATATCTGATTTGAGAAAGCATACAGCTTTATTGATATGTAAATAGATGTTTGAAGACTGGAAAGGCAGATGTGCTATAGATTTTCAAGTGTAAATTAAAAACTCAGAGAACTTAAAGGAAATACAATCTAGGGAAGAATACATTAGTTTTTTAGTAACTAGCTCACAAACAACGGTGCATACAAATAGTTCCCCCTATCACAGCTGACACTGGTAGCTTAGAACAGTGGCAAAACGCAGGTATTACCCCTAAAGTTGGGAGCAAGAGTATTCAGAGAACATTAAATCTGAAATAATAACCCATATAAGACCTATGCTGGTTTAAGTCTCTGTGACAGTTAATCTAGGCCATGAATGGTCTTGCTGAAAATTGAGGTGGAAAGCAAAGAAGAGCCAAGATGACATATGAAGATCTCTGTAATAGTTTTTCTATATTGAGGCCAAATATCACAAAGAAAATAGACTTTTAGATAAAAAGCACAGATTAGGGGATGAAAAATTAAGTGCTTGTGTGTTAAGTAACTACTGATCTAACTATCCAAGTCTTAGAGTCCAAAGGTACAGGCAAATGGTAGCTCACACTTGCCTACTTCCTGGGCCTTAGATTTAATAGCTTCAGAGTTTCAGCTTCCAACGATCCCGCGGTTTGCAACAGGGAAAACTATTATGGAGAAGCAGCTTTGCAGTAGCCAGGACCTACTCGAGAGTTATTCTCTTTCTTACAGCTCTTCCAGTTGCCATCAAGTTACTCTCTCATTTCATGGGTAATGCGCAATAAGTCTAATCCTGCTAATACTATCCTAGGCTTTTGACTGTGGTCTTTAATGTTGGGATAGTGTCTTTTGCAAAAAATGAGTGCACATATTTTTAAGGAGTTCCATAAAACAGTTTTATATCACTACCTAATTGGTATCTTACTGTAGAAAAGAGTCAGTAGCATTTTGTGAAGACCTCCTAGCTGAGAGGAAAATGGAATATTTCTGTAAGAGGAAACTAATTGGAAGAAGTCAGGCCTCATGCCTACCTTGCACTGCTGTGAGGGTGTAGAGATGAATTAAAGAACATCCATTTACCATCATGAATATTTCCAGAATAAATAGCTTTGTTGCCTGTGGTCTCTACAAATGTCCTCTGCTGGAATAAAACATGATCTATGGGAGACTGTTTGTGAGGAAAGGAGTTATTAAAGGACAGGGCTATGCCTTAATGTCTGTCTTTTTTCTTTTTTCCCCCCAAATTCTCTCTTTTCCGTTTCTTCAGTTTTATTACTTTTAACGTTATCTCACTTTTGCCCTACTTATAATTTTATTAACTTCATTTCAAAAGTGTCAAGATGTTAAGGCTTGGAGCACCCTGAGCGGGATACTGAGCAAACATAATTAGAGATATTCCTTGCCATGAATTCTCTCATTGAAGCTGAAAGTTCAGTAAAGAGAGCGTAGTACAGTTAAAAAAAAAAAAAAAAAAAAAAAAAAGAAGTGAGAATTAGGTATGAGTAATAACACACCACTGTGTGGCTTGTGCTATGTAGTCCAATTAATTTGTAAAAATATAGTAAATTACTTTTAAACTAACTTAGTCATGCCAGTGAAGCCCATCCAGAAAGGTCTCCCCACACCCAAAAGACCTTAATCCTTATTTTTTACCAGGCACAATTTACATGTTCACACTGCAGTGGTCATATAACACAAGGCCCGCATGGCAGCCAGGAAATCTGGCCCTCATTGCCTTTATTTTCTGAGTTAAACGTAAAGTGCGAGAGAGTCTTGAGTCAGCGAGTAGTGAGAAAGAGCCAGCGCACGGAATACGAGAGGAACACACGGCAGCTCACTCCCTGAATCCATCACTTTCGGGAATGAAAGCAATCTTGGATCACTTTTAGAATCAACAGAATTTATTAAAGACTGTAGAGCTATTGTTTTATGACAAAAAGCAAAAGAATTCAGTGTTCCGTTAAACAAGGATTTCTAATTTTACACACCTGAAGATGTAAAAAGGATCAGCTCTTTCAAGTGTCTTTCATTTTTCTTCAATTAAGGGTTTAAGTTTAAAGTAAGCAGTCTTGATAAATTAATGGTATGCTATTTAGCAGTCTTAGTTATCCAACTTTTATTATTACTGTAATTTCATTAAACAAATGTGAATGTTGCAAAAGTATGTATTCACTATAAGTGATTTTGCCATATTGCTTTTACTATTTATATACTGAAGGTCAAATAATAGGATCATTACATTGCAAATGGTCCAAGCCCTCCTATTTCTCACCAAGGATTTAGGGACAAGCTCAATTTCAAATGCGTATTAGCTTGTATTCATACACTTTTAAAGACATATGTTTGAATAAGAAAAGCACCCAATACGGTACATAGATTCAGGATTTATTCAAACTTTTTGTTCTGTCTTGTTGACATTACACGGGTAAAGATTATAAATATACTCCTTATAAAAAAAGCAAAGACAAAACTATCTTTGTGTTGCCCCATGAGTTACTCCCGAGCTGATCTGGCAGAGGGGTAGGGGGGAAGGGGCGTAAAGAAGATGTATTTTAAAAACACAACCGCTTACAAATTATTCCAGAATGAGGTGCATGGTGACTTTCAAGCACAATAACCAGTTTGGAATCGTTCCACGTGTGGACATTCCCATTTCAGAGTAAGTGACTTTTGTTTTTTCAATCCTGGGTTGCCTTATTTCACTTGCGAAGTTCATCCTATTCAGTTTGTGTTTCCCAGTGTTTCCCAGAAGTGTTTCCCAGAAGGGGAGCTTTTCCACAAAAAAACATTTCAGTCAGTTTCAGCGCATGAAGGGAAATTCCCTTTAAATGACTACACAAGAAGTTAATTAGGTACAATAGGTTTTGACAAAATAGGAAAGAATATTCCCGGTACTCCAACTTCCACCGGCCTGGGCACATTATCAGCGTGACTCGAAGCACGTGTGCCTCATTCATCAGCATTTTGCACCCGCCGCCATAGGCAATCCCTGTAGCTAGGTTCTAAGCCTTAAAACCACAACTAATCTTTTAAAGTTGAAATACAGAGCAAGAAAAAATTGTTTTCCATCCTTCACCACTTCCTTGTGTTCTGAGATGATTATCTCAGTGGCAGAGGAAAGGGTCTGTCTGCTGCTTGCATTAGATCCCTACGAGCTCTTGCCAGGATCCTTCATCAGGCAGAGGAAAGGGTTATCTGGAACTTCTTTAAAGCCACAGCTTATAGGGTGTTGAGTTAGGAATATTTTGCCTTTGTGGGAACAATAAAGGCCAGTGCAGTTTTGCTTCTTTTCTCAGAGCAGCTCATAAACGACCCTGTACTAAGGGGAAACTCTTGAAGGAACAAGCTGATGCTTGTTCCTTCTCATACTTTGGGGATGATTTAGTGTCAATACCAACTAGAACATGAGCACCAAGGCAGCAAAAAACCCACCTGAGCTCCAATCTGACACTACCTTGCTGCAGGCTGACTGTGGCTCTCGTAGGTACAAACACACCAGCAATTTTTGCTTAGAACTTGTCCACAGTAATAACATTTTTAGAAGCCGCTGTAGGTTCTAGAATTTTAAAGCAGTTCTGGGGTTGTCATTTGGGTTTCTGCCTTCAGGGTATGAAGGTGCACCTGAGTCCTTCTGAGCCACGCACATTTCCCCCTATTGTGCCTTGCCTTGTATGTGTGGTAGCAGTTGGGGCTCGGATGGGGCAGTGAGGCAGTAACAGGGGAACGTCTTTAGTCTAAAGCTCCTACTCACGATATTTATTCCTAAGCTTTATAATCCTGTCACTTATAACTATAACTATTAAGTTAATCATGTAGAATTCAGAAAAAGGTGCTGTCCGAAATCTGTTAATTATTCTTTATCCTCTGAAGCAGGAGTGTTCTGGGCGAAGCAAATATTTTTTAAGTGTTCCACCATGGCTTTCTCATCATCTTCAAGGTCTGCACCTTCCCTCATCTCCCACCTGAAAGAAAAATAACTTATTAATGTTCTTACGCATTTTAAACCATTTTTTTCAGAACAAACAAGACAGTAATAAACATGTCATCATCAACCATTGTCCCCCAAACTTTGGGGACACCTGCTGAAATTACTGAATCATAGAAAAATACAACTCAACCCCAAAAAGTGCTGCTCTACGCCACTAACATATTTGTGAGACAACTCACACAAACTGTCAAAACTACATCAAAATCTTACTCATTTCTAGTGTGTTGATGCCTTCAAAGATTTAACGTGAATGATCATCATTCTCTTCAGCAAAACCACGGCCTGGCATAGCTATCAACCCAAGAAATTATGTATCACAATCTTCCCTCTGTCCGTGTCAGTGCTCAACTCCAACTTAGGACAAAATTCTAACGCAACTGAAACCGAAAAGGAAAAAGTGAAAAAGAACAAGAAGATGCTTTTGCCTAGCAGCTGAATCAAAACACCTTAAGGGTCACACAGCATCCCTTAGCCAAAAAAAAAAAAAAAAAAAAAAAAAAGGTAATAAATGCAGAAATATTGCCAGATATGTAGCCAGTTAAACATAGTCCCCCTTTAAGCAAGTGGGGGAAAGTAGATTGCCTCCTCTCACATTATGCCTTTGATAAGCTCAGTAACGTGATCTCTTTTATGAAATTTTGAAGATTTTTCAAGAGCTTGACATCCCTTCAATATTAATCTCTTTCTGTTCTAGACCGATAATGAAGTGTAAGCTCACAATTCATACCAGGCAAAGACAAAATGTAAAGCATATAAGCAGCATGATTACTAAATACAGAAATCAGATTTCCAAGTATTAAATATAGTAGATTATAACTGATCCACAGGAGGATCTTATAAAGTAGGAGACAGAGAGAGGAGCAGAAAGACAAGGACTGCTTTCAGGAGACTAATGTCGGAGCAACATTTTAATCCTGACCTCACCCTTTTTACGTGCTCATTCTGACTGCAAAACGCCAGGAGACAAATGCAACTTTACAGATTGGTGAATATATCAAACAAAATATGGAATGGTGGGACGAGTACATTGCATTCATCACACATTGCAAAAAAAGGGCAATCGTTATTGGCAGGAAGGTATGGTGTTTATCTTTTGTAACTATATTTAAAAGCTCACCAAAACCAGCAAAAGTAGTACTGTGTGCTTTATAGTTCAAGTACAGCTAGGAAAAATATATTCAATGAATACAAATAAATTAACATATCACAGAATCATAGAATGCCCAAGGTTGGAAGGGACCTCTAGAGGTCATCTAGTCCAACCCCCCTGCTCACGCAGGGTCACCTAGAGCACGCGGCACAGGGCTGTGTCCAAGCGGGTTTTAAAGATCTCCAAAGAAGGAGACTCCACAACCTCTCTGGGCAGCCTGTTCCAGTGCTCTGTCACCCTCACAGTGAAGAAATGCTTCCTTAAGTTCCTGTGGAACTTCCGATGCTTCAGTTTGAAGCCATTTCCTCTAGTCCTGTCACTGGCCACCACTGAAAAGAGGCCGCCCCCTCCTCCTCCCTCCCTCCCTTGAGGTATTTATAGACACTGATCAGGTCCCCCCTCAGCCTCCTCTTCTCCAGGCTGAACAGGCCCAGCTCCCTCAGCCTTTGCTCATAGGGCAGATGTTCCAGGCCCCTGATCATCCTGGTAGCCCTGCGCTGGACTCTCTCCAGCAGCTCCACATCCCTCTTGTACTGGGGAGCCCAGAACTGGACGCAGTACTCCAGATGTGGCCTCACCAGGGCTGAGTAGAGGGGGATGATCACTTCCCTCGACCTGCTGGAGACGCTGTTCTTAATGTACCCCAGGATCCCGTTGGCCTTCTTGGCCACCAGGGCACACTGCTGCCTCATGGTCATCTTGTTGTCCACCATGACACCCAGGTACCTCTCTATTGGGCTGCTCTCCAGCTGTCGTGCTTTTACCTTCAAACCAGAATCTGACAGCTGACATTACTGCGTGGCCTGAGTAAATAGCAGCAGCAGCAGCAGCAGAGCACACACTGCATAACACAACAGGCGCTCGATGCCTGCGATCAAAGTTGTGCAGTAACTGCTGATACCCCAGTGACCCTCCTATCAGACTTATCCCCTCGGACTATTACTATTAGCTTCAGGTAATTACTATTATGGCTGCCTGCTTCACTTTCTCATTTATGAGAAGTCTACAACATGTGGCCACGTGAGCCACGGGCACAGTTCCTCGCGCCAGTGTCCCTGATGAGTGCTGGCAACCAAGGCTTCCTCCTTGCCCTTCGCTCATGCACCGAGGAGCCTCTTCAAGCCTGGCACGAGGTAGCGCAGTCCTTAATCTGAATTTATGGCCCTTGGAGCCCCTCTAAACCACCACTTTACCAGGCCGATTGATTCGTTTTAATTAATATGATTTGCTGCATGTTTTCAAGTAGAGGGGTTGTTTGCTCGGAAAGAAGGCAACTACAATTGCTAAATGGAGTACATTTAAAACAGTTATTACTTGAGGTATAACGCACGGGAAACAAGCAGCCTTTGCTAATGGAAGCTGAACTTAATAAATCAGCAGATTCCTTTTAAAGATAGTGACTTCATACTTGTCAGCACATTTTATTGAATCTGAAATGTTACTGTTGGTAAAAAACTTCAATGTCATCCAGTTTGGACATTCTTTAGTGTTCCTTTTATGAAAGTCATTACTAATTCACTACATTTTCATTTTATCAAAAAGTAGTCTATTTCTAAAGCATTTAAACAAGCCCAAAGAGGATAAAAATGCCTTCCATGCATTTGCTGAGCAGGCTCCATAAATTAAGGATCTAGGAGAGCAGCTCGACAAACACCTGGGCGCTCATCTAATTTTTGAAATTGTTCCACTCTTAAGTGTAAAGTCTGCAGAGGGTGTTGTTTTTAAGAGGCTGTTGGGCAGCGTGTGAGAAGGGCCCGGCCTATCTTCCCTGTTCTAACTGGGATGCCAAACAGGTGTCTGCGCTCAAATGGAGAGAGAGAGAGAGTCAACATTTACCGTTCCAAAATTTGTCCAGAGTGGAACATGTTTTTACTAGCAGATCTACAATGTGTGACAATTGTTTTGGCAATAGTAATTGGCTCTAATCCAGCCATGCAGTAGCCAGTTCAAGCAATGTGAATGTGAATGAAATTACCATCATGAATTACTTTCAAAATACCAGCTTCATCATCTGAACAGCCAACCTGCAACTTCTGTTATTTCAAATTATTAGTAACTTGGCTCTAAGAGAAGATTTGCAAATAGCTTGATTGGCAGGTATTTTACTTTAGTCTGGCTGTATTTTGGAAGATTAAATTTAATCAGCATTCCAGAAGCATACTGGAGATACCTGAACCTACCCATTGTACACTGTCTACATTCTGCCTGCAGTTCATATAAGCACAACACGGATTTGTGAAAATTGGTAAGCCCAGAAATGTGATAAATCCAACTTTGAGGACATTTTTCAGATTTAAAGGAAAGCACATATTTAGTATAAAATATCATCACTTTTGTAAGCTTTAGGCTAGAATTGCAAAAGGACAGTTTTCAAGCTACTAGTATTTGTGATCTTGCAGAACAAAACATCTGAAATATTTCTTTCCAAATTTGCAGAAATAACGAATAATGCAGGTGACACATTTCTGTGCACATCTGAACAGAATTGCCTATAAACTTCTCTCCATATGCTGTCACTCTCTGTGTTGCTTGTGGCTAATCGAGGAAAAAAACCCTAGCAACATTTTTTTTTTCAGCTAGAAGCATACAGCCATGCTTCTGCACAGATAAATAAAGAAATCGGTGATTTTTTTTGTTTGTTTTTTTCCTATTAGATGGGCCTAGATTGTGGCTGAGGGCATGAGGTCAAGCAGGACAGCCGGCACTAGCAGAGCTTTCCATCTCCCTGCTGTGCACAGGGCGAGCGGGGAGGATGTCTTGGCTTGTGCATCTGCAAGCGAATGCGGCGCCTGAGGAAGATCCAAGGATTCCCCAGGTTTCCTTAGCAATGTATAAACGTGCTATCCCTGCCTATAATTAGCATCAATACATCCAGTTATATATAGGTCCATACTGCTCCACCATACTTCCATCTCTCAACTAGAAAAAGCTAAATCAGCAGTAAATGTTTGCAGAGATGCACAGATCAATCTGTTCACACACCTCTCTTAAAAAGCATGCAGAGCATTTTAGCATGGCTGTATTCAATATACGTTCATACACTAACTGCATTGATTTTCTGTTGCAATGTTGCATATATTTTGCAACCTGCACATATATTCATGTGGAGGCATATAAAAAAAAATAAGTAACAAGTATTTAGGTGCCTGTTACAGATCAAAAGGAAGAATACGCAGGTAATGCCAAAGCAGTGACATACTAAATGAGAAGTGTAACATACACAGCAATCTCCACACGGAGATTTTCAGAAGCAGCAAAGATTTTGCCTGTTGCAGATTGCTCCTTTTAAGAAGTTTCACTGAGGAGCTTACTTGAATAGATAGTATGTGATTAATTACTAAGTTTATCCCTTACCTTTAAAAAGCGTAAAAAGATTAGAGGGGAAAAAGCTTGGTAAAAAATGACAGTTAGCATGAATAAAACTTTTTAAAATCTCAGGTGCATTTTGAACTTCAAAAAATCTCTGGATTGGCACTATTTGAGAGACTGACCCTGCCATTTTTGAAAAGTAAATTTGCAGAAAAGATCACCCCAATATTTATAGTAGAATGTTATGTATTCATAGTAATGCTTATGTAGCTTTTTGACATCTGCTGCATTTTCCTAATGCTTAGAGCAAAGTTACATACCAACTCATTCCATGGAATAAAAATAAATAGAAATTGCAGTTGTTGGAATTAAAAAGATCTTTGGCATATGACTGCCATACTAATACCAATGGTATTTCCTACAGAAAAGCTGGTACTGGTCCTCTTGTATGGAACTTGCTATTAAACAATGAAAAATTAAACTGTACAGCTGTGTATTAGTTAGCTGAAAATATG